ATACTCAGTCAATCAGCAATGTGTAAATACTCAGTCAATCAGTAATGTGTAAATACTCAGTCAATCAGCAATGTGTAGATACTCAGTCATACTTACTGCAAGTTGTTCCAGTTTTTATTGAGATGGAAAGCAATAGGCCAGTATCGTGGTCCAGTAATCTTCACCTACAAACCATGTCAAAAGGATATTAATCTCCAAAAAGCAATTCAATATTTGTTGATAGTCTAAACGAACATTCACTAATAACCATTCTAAATCCTGTTAACTTGAGTGTTCATGTCATATTGCCATGAGCCATCATCAACAGTAGATGAGGTGGGAGTGAACCATAGTTTATGCCAATTTCGGGCTGTTACATTTGCCGTTACAATTATTGAACTAATCACACAACAATACGATTTGAAAATGAGAATTTGTATTTGTTGATCGGGCTAAAGTATGAAAATGGTTATGACCTTTCACAGAAAATACCTTTAATGTAAAAGAGTTTTTCTACTTTGGCCAGATTATGAGCAGAGGTAAACATTTCAGATATGCATGTGTAAATGGAATAGATGAATAGTCAGTTTAAGGTCCCTGTGGAAGGTAATAGTAACAGTAAACAATTTTAAGTGAATAAATAAATTGGTGTCAATTTTGAACACCGGTACGAATGGAATGACAAGGGACTGTGACAGTATAAACATTTAATGCTTACCTCCTCTATGACATCCAGCTCGGGTAAAAGGCAGGGTGCCGAGGTACTAAAGGAGATATTGGAGTACACATCTGTATCCTGAAACAATGAACTTCTAACATCTTCACAAAGTCAAACTAGAATCAGAAGTTACATGCCAAATGTTTCTAAACAGAGATTAACCTTTCACCACCGTAGACCATAATGGACTCATCCAGATCAATGCATGGTAGAAGAGTTACTAAAATTACAAAGGGGTGAAAGGGTTAATGGCACTTGGCCATAGGTGTCTTTACAGAGAATTTTTCTCCATTATCTCCAATTCATATATTGAATAAGACACATGCAAGGTATTTGTTTGCCAATGTGATAAATATTTTAGCGGTATAGTCATATCAAGACCTTGTAAAGATTTCTCATATAAGTGTTGCCCCCATTTGAAAGTTGAACTGAAACTGATCAACATACAAGAGTTCAAGTGTTCAAGAACTCTTGTTGACCATGCATTTATTATTGTAGTATTTAAATCATATTCAACATATGATAACTAAAACATAAACTCATATTTCTGAAAAATTTGCTTATACATGTTCTGATTATCAAGTATTACTGTTAGCAGAAACTCCATTCAGCAACATTTTTCCAACTCAAACCAATTGTCTCAGACACAATGCTGACATACCTTAAACTTGACTTCCATGGGTACGTAGCAAGGGTGTCCTGTGTCCACGTCACGAGGGAGAACGAGGCGCGGGTCAGCAGCCATCACATACAGGTGACGAAGGGCCTGCAGGTGGTACCTTCAACATAACCTTTACAAGGTAGGACACATGTTCCAAACATAAAAAAATATCCAAATGTATCACATTTGTACCACAGCCTGACTTAAAAGTTTCAATTTGAAAAAGCGTTTACCATCAAAGAGCACATTACTCTAAACAAGTCATTCAGATTGATATGTCTCGCCTGTGCCCCTCTTTGACCATCAATGCACATGTCAACTTTGGTTGGTCTAGCACAAAGTTTCAGAGAAACTAACTTAAACGCAAAAACTTCAAGTTAATGTAGATGCTGACAAAGTCAATGGACCATGAAATGTAGGCCGCATCCAGCATTTGATGTATGGGATGAGATGTACTATCTAAGATGCATCTATGGTCTAAGTTTGGTTGGTCTAGAACTTATACTTTCAGTGAAACTAACTCAAACGCAAAAACTTAATGTTGACGCCGTCGCCGGAAAATCAACACCCTAGTCTCGCTTAAGCTACTTCGTTGCGGCGAGACAAGATACCCTTAACATTATTCTATGACTGAAGCTAGATGTGGCTGAGGGTGTGATTGTGATTAAGAAATAAGTTGAGACTGAAGGTAATGTCAGAAGTAGACTCACCTGTTGTCATTGCTGTGTATAGGAAACTTGGGGTAGAAAGCACACAGCATCACAGCTATACAGTCAGATGTGGTCTTCAGTGAGTATCTGTAACACGAATAGTCATTAGTATATCACCTGAAACATTACATCACAAATATTGTTTTAGAAGAACTTATATGAAAAATAAAGCCATGTTATCTAGAATCCTGATTTTGAAGTATTCTTCATCAAGATCACCATAATGAACCTTCAAAAAATGGATCTGCTTAATTTTTTGAGATTTTTTAACTTTCAGTCAACTTCAGAAACTTTCATGTCATGGCCTTAATAAGGATTACCACATTTAACTGATACACTAATACATACTTAGTTTCGTCTGAATTGACTACAGTTGACACATGTCTCATCCCAACAACAGTAAGATAATTTCCTGAGGTCCAGACAACATATAGACTTACCTGCCCCCGCCCAGGAAGAGTAGCCCCAGGGACATACTGATGGCCATGTGTGAGCCATACATCACCCCGAGACTGTGGGGGCCCACACGAGCCCGCAACATACGACACATACGCAGGATCTCCAGATTACCTGTTCCGGACATCACCTGAAACAGGTCAACAAAAAAACACAGTGGTCAATCTCAAAAGGGGGAAAATGTGTGCAAGTACATCCGGTGACTGCCACCTTTAGATCAGACATGGCTTATGATTCAAATATCTGTTACAGAGCATCAATATTTTAAACATTTTATATTTACAAGTATTCAAACTCAAAACATTTCGGTCTAGGTTTCGGGAATATAATCTTGAATAGAACAATGTCATAACCCTGCTGAGTAATATATATTATCATACAGACAAATGTACACAGGATCTTCATATTCCATGTTCTATATCTGTCTTAAAACGTTTCTCATATGTCACCTACAAAATCACTTTTCTAGGTATCTATGTCCTTAAAATATATAAACTTTGTCAAGGCAGCATATAGCCCTACACTGTTTTAAAGGCTGTCTGACTACAATATAACACATAAACATACAGAAAACAGAATGATTCTAGGTATAGTTAACATATCTTTCTAGTTTCTAACACAACTGATTAACATTTAAGTACGTATTCATCAAATATTTATTTCTATTCTATATTGCTAGAAATACTCAAAAATAAGTCTCTTCATTTCTTTTGTTTATTGGGGACTACCAGAGCAATATTTTGGACTAAATTTCCCCGATACATGAGTTTCTTCCATTTAGCCATGTCGTTTTTGTGTCCTTAGCCTAAGGTAGAAAGCCTTACCATAGCCAGTGCCAGTAGAATGGACATCATTGTGTTTTCTACGGTGATTTTCCCTGCCTGTTCCACGTGACTCGGACAGGACACAATCTCGAGAGACATACGCATACACTCTTTCTGCAAACAAAGACCAAGGAGGATATGTTATATATTTTTTTCTTAGACTTTTCTGAACTTTACTTGATCAATGACAGGTTTCAATTAAAATTAAAAAAAAAAAAAAAGCATAGCAAGACATGAACCAATTAACTGATTCAAATGATGATAAATTTCATAATTGTCTTAAATTAAAGAGAAAGAGTAAAAAATTTCTGACCTTAACAACCTGTAGATCCAATCTTATCTTACTGATATTTGTTTGTTTGAGTGGTTTTGACGTCCTCTTCAATACCGATAGTTCGGTTATCCAGCAGAAGAATTACTGATATTTCAAACAGTTTTAATTAATTAAATAATCTTTAATTACACAAGATAAATGTGAGGATTGTCTCCCCTGCTTTACCTACCAGAGTATCAAAAGCCTGCTTGTTGGCTGTCCCAGCAAACTTGAGACCAATCACCATACAACCACCACCGACTATATTACAGTACGCTTGGCTACAAACATAATGGAATGTCATAAACCACCTGCTTTCATAAATTGTAAGTGTTAAACATTTTTAGGCCCATCGCAGACATGAATGAGCAAAGATGCACTTTTTTTTTTTTTTTAGATGTATCATCCGGTAAAGTCTAAAGTGATAATANCACTTTTTTTTTTTAGATGTATCATCCGGTAAAGTCTAAAGTGATAATTACAATAGGTTGTTAAGAAAAGCTAAAACAATAAATTGCAAGTGATGGGAGTCACAAGAGAGTGTGGTCAGGCGGCGCAGTGGATAACGCATTTGCCTTTCACCAAGGCAGCCAGGGTTTGATTACCCAATTGGATGTAGAAAAAAGTTTTTCCCCATATTCCCCCCCCCCACGTCATCATTCGGGCGAATAAGAGGGATTAAAATAAGTTGAAATAACTGGTTACATAAATGTTGAATGTTGTAAAATAAATGAAGTTTATATATTATAGAGAGTGCCTGTGCCTGTCCCCACTTCCCAACTTTCAGATGGAATATGGATGAAAAATGCAGAATATTTTTAAAAAAATATTTCACTAGTACACATTTAACTACAAATGAAGTTAATTTTCATAACAAAGTGTTTACCTCATTGTCTCAAAGTCCACAGGAGTGTCATCGTCCTGGACATGTCCTTGTGCAAAGGCATACTTTTGAATAATCTGAAAAAAAGTTAGACTACATTTACCGAAATTTACTCCAATTTGTTGCACACTAGGCTATACTTACAATCACAAATCACATGTAGTCTACTATACCTTTTGATTAAAACAGGACACTCATTAATGAATAAATGAGCAAACCCAATATATCAACTCTTCAGGCACAAATTTTTAGATTTTTTTTGTTTGAATTAAGCTGAGTCAAGTGATAACTGATATTGTACTTACAATGGTATCCATTTTCATTTTTTCTTCTTCGTTTGTGAAATGAAACATTGACTCAATAGGCAGAATAAATTTTAATTTCATAGAAAAAATAAATTCATGCTTACAAACCACATACTTGAATTGACATATAGAACCAGGGTAAGTAAAGAAATTAAAACTAAAATTGAATATTATTTGATTGACGCTAACAGCATTACAATAGCAATTATGTCTACTTGAAAATGACAATAAAACGAGATTATCAGGTGCTGTTTACACATTAACAGCATCATCAAAGGGAAATGAGATTTGAATTTTGTAATAATTTCAATGGTTGATAATTTGAATATTAGAGAATTACCAGCAAAGGTACTTAACATGGAAGGAGGCATAGCCATTGATTCTCACTCGAAGCATACCTTTCAGGTGTTTTTTTTTTTTTTTTTCTCTTCGTTTTCATTTTTAATCAATGGCTATGCCTCCTTCCACTGTGTTGTTCGGTTAAGGTGCCAGTGTTCAGACTTATAACAGTATAGGAAAGAACTTACAGGGGGTAAGTTTCCAGTTAGCCACTGGAATGTTGGTATTACAGAATCCCACATGACTAAGCCACGACTCAGGGTCTGAAATTGAAAGCAAAACAACTATCGACATTTTATAAATTTAACATGTTTAAAAATCTCCACATTTAGAGCATTTAATAAATAAAAGTAACCAAAAAATCTTTTGCTTTTTATGTATAGAAAAGTCATTAACAAACAACATATAACTTTGTGATATAGGTTACATTCGTGTATCCCGGTTGAAATGGTACATGTGGCGCAGAAATATTCCTGGAAAAACGAACACACTTAGACCGTTCTATATCAGCAGAGCTAAAAAGGCAGTTTCAGAGAATAACAAGAGGCCCATGGGCCTTAACGGTCACCTGAGTCTANGTATCAAGAATAGTATTCCCTTCTTTCACCTGTCCACTGAATTACATAACGTATCTGAAAAACTACATGTGGCTTGATATTGTTTTAGAAAGAAATAACGCAAACTAGCAAAAGTCAGCATTTTAGTTTTGGTCTGGACCCCTCAATCTACATGTGCCAAATTTTCCTGAGTTCAGCCATGGTTCAGATCTGTGCCTGTCGTTTTCACTACAAGTTCAACCGTTTCAACCGGATACGGGAATGTAGCTTTATATAAATTCCGTTTTGTTTTGCTTAAGTAATGAAACAATATTTTTCAACATATATTGATCACTCTTCTTAGCCCTGATGGAAGTGTACGGGGTCTACTGAGGGATGAAACTGGAGTACCCAGTGAAAACCTAAGGTGGTCAGGCAGGCGACCTAAAATCCTTTCTTGTCTGATCAGGGGAGTGAAATCCCAGTCGTCTTGGTGAAAGGTTTAGGGTGCTATCTACTGCGCCACGCGACCACCCAAAATTGTATGCCTTACTAGAATTCAGAGATGTTCTGCTCTACCAGTCTAATTATCTGGCAACAAGCAACAAAGCTCCACACTATATATCAACTTTATTAATTTTACAACAAAAATGAAACAGGTTATTTAAGCTTATATTAATCACTCTTGTTGGCCCGGATGTTAGCGCACGGGGGGTCATAATGTGGGAGGAAACCGGAGTACCCTGAGAAAACCCACGTGGTTGGGCAGGTGACCCCATACCTTTTCTTTTCAGATAGGGGAATCAAACTCTGGCTTGGTGAAAGGCAAGTGTGTTCTCCACTGTGCCAACCGCCCACCCTAAGGATCAAGACTTTTTGTGTGTTAAACGTCTGTGACTTAACACTCGACCAATTAGTTTAGAATAAGAGAGACATGTCTAAAACTATCATAATATGAAATGATGTATAAAATTGTTCAAGCTTACCCTCAACATGAGGAAGTCTGGTCGAACATGGTCAAGCATGAACTGTGTATCAGACGCTATCAGCCACTCAGCTACAGCACTATCGGAGAGGAAAAGTGTTAAAAGCTATTTCAAAAGTCATCAAAGTGGTGATAAAATAAGACTTAAATGGAAGTGAGTTACAAATATATTGATTCCTGTTCTTGTACAATTTTGTTTTGTCAGGTGAGTACAGGCAGGTTCTAAGATCCTTATTTTCACCATTAGGGGTAATTTTGGTAAACTAGACAGCCAATGAAATGAAAGCAGGCAGAAGGACACTTTATATAACAAATTTAGTTTAAAAAAGGCCAAAACGTCTGGTCATACAAGATCAGACACTTAAGCTCGCTCAGGCTAAAAAAATCTTTGTTCTCCAAAACAGTTGAGGGAGAGTGGCATATATTTGTAAGTAAATTTTCTGATAGAAATCCAGAAACCTTTATAGGTTCCTATATTAACATTGGAATGTTGGAAAACACTGCTTGTTAAAATCATGTACATCTGCTAAAACAAAGCCACAAACTTAGGAAGCTTAATTGTCCATTATATCTTGTAAAAATGTTCACTTTTTTTTTTAAAAGTCTCTACTATTATGTCCTTGAAATTATTAGCAACTTCTATAAACACACAACCATAGTGCATACATTTCCGAAATACACTTAAAGCAATTGCATTTTAGAGCAAATTACAAATAATACAAGCTTTTAAATTCATTTCCTTTTCTCCTGAATAACCGTCATGAAATGTGGAGACATTGGTAGTGGCATTTACCTGTTGTTAGTTTTGAAGTAGAGCATGCCGAGGGCCAGAGTAGCTCCCGGAGACGTCACATCCACATTGACACTGTCACCTTCCTGTAGTAGGTAAGCACGGACAAAATAGTCATTAACAGATACTCAGTAAAACTCAAAACATTGACACTGTCACCTTCCTGTAGTAGGTAAGGACAGACAAAATAGTCATTAACAGATACTCAGTAAAACTCAAAACATTGACACTGTCACCTTCCTGTAGTAGGTAAGGACAGACAAAATAGTCATTAACAGATACTCAGTAAAACTCAAAACATTGACACTGTCACCTTCCTGTAGTAGGTAAGGACAGACAAAATAGTCATTAACAGATACTCAGTAAAACTCAAAACATTGACACTGTCACCTTCCTGTAGTAGGTAAGGACAGACAAAATAGTCATTAACAGATACTCAGTAAAACTCAAAACATTGACACTGTCACCTTCCTGTAGTAGGTAAGGACAGACAAAATAGTCATTAACAGATACTCAGTAAAACTCAAAACATTGACACTGTCACCTTCCTGTAGTAGGTAAGGACAGACAAAATAGTCATTAACAGATACTCAGTAAAACTCAAAACATTGACACTGTCACCTTCCTGTAGTAGGTAAGGACAGACAAAATAGTCATTAACAGATACTCAGTAAAACTCAAAACATTGACACTGTCACCTTCCTGTAGTAGGTAAGGACAGACAAAATAGTCATTAACAGATACTCAGTAAAACTCAAAACATTGACACTGTCACCTTCCTGTAGTAGGTAAGGACAGACAAAATAGTCATTAACAGATACTCAGTAAAACTCAAAACATTGACACTGTCACCTTCCTGTAGTAGGTAAGGACAGACAAAATAGTCATTAACAGATACTCAGTAAAACTCAAAACATTGACACTGTCACCTTCCTGTAGTAGGTAAGGACAGACAAAATAGTCATTAACAGATACTCAGTAAAACTCAAAACATTGACACTGTCACCTTCCTGTAGTAGGTAAGGACAGACAAAATAGTCATTAACAGATACTCAGTAAAACTCAAAACATTGACACTGTCACCTTCCTGTAGTAGGTAAGGACAGACAAAATAGTCATTAACAGATACTCAGTAAAACTCAAAACATTGACACTGTCACCTTCCTGTAGTAGGTAAGGACAGACAAAATAGTCATTAACAGATACTCAGTAAAACTCAAAACATTGACACTGTCACCTTCCTGTAGTAGGTAAGCACGGACAAAATAGTCATTAACAGATACTCAGTAAAACTCAAAACATTGACACTGTCACCTTCCTGTAGTAGGTAAGGACGGACAAAATAGTCATTAACAGATACTCAGTAAAACTCAAAACATTGACACTGTCACCTTCCTGTAGTAGGTAAGCACGGACAAAATAGTCATTAACAGATACTCAGTAAAACTCAAAACATTGACACTGTCACCTTCCTGTAGTAGGTAAGGACGGACAAAATAGTCATTAACAGATACTCAGTAAAACTCAAAACATTGACACTGTCACCTTCCTGTAGTAGGTAAGCACGGACAAAATAGTCATTAACAGATACTCAGTAAAACTCAAAACATTGACACTGTCACCTTCCTGTAGTAGGTAAGCACGGACAAAATAATCATTAACAGATACTCAGTAAAACTCAAAACATTGACCTCAGTTTAGGCTATGGGTTGAAGTCCTGTTTCCTACTTTATATACAACATGCAAGGTAAGGCATAGATAGTTAGTTATAGAACTGATTTATTAAATTTTTGTTTCTTGAGCATAACTAATCTAACTTTGGCTCTTTTTTGGGGCTACTCACCATTTAATAATCTTTTACATAATTAGAAAATTATGCAATGTCGCATGCATGTATCTTATAAATTGCAACATTACCAAAAATTTTGTGTGATCTTAATAATTGCCAAGAATAACTATTATCTGAATTTGGAAAAGAACTCACTTGAATTTCCATTTTTTAAGTGAAGCCAATATTCTAGTAAGTCGGAAAATTTTAAAAAACGTTCCAGTTATAACACTGAAATGATCACATCCATATTAAAAGCTAGTATCCTTTTATGGCCCTATAAACCTAATACCAGGTAATAACTAACATTAAAACAATGTGAGCAGTCTTGGCAGGTCTACATGTCCTAAAAACAGAAGGAGATGACTTATTCTTAGGCTTTCTATGAAGTTCCTTTAATAGACGAAAGGCACATACAGCCCACAAATCTGCTAAATTAAGGTTATCCTTCAGAAGAGATACATTACCTTGATTTGATAACTAGGCGACTTGTATCTTTCTTTATTGGGCCCACTCTAAAAAAAGAAAGAAATACCAAAAATATTTCAACTCTTACAAAAAGTTTTCCATTTTTTTCAAATACCTTTTTTAGATCACAAAAAGTTCTACTACATATATATTAGATCCTTGTAGTCACATGATATTCTATGTCTAATGAAAATTTAATTTTATATGTGATCAGAAGTAGTAGCAAAGAAGTTAATCTTTGTTGTCCATCTGTCTCACGCATTCAAATGTAAATTGACTGCTCCTGATCTTGGATCACCCAACAATAATTTTTTTCTACGAGTCCAAATATGTTGTGCCAGTCAACTTCGCTGGAGATAACCCTTATATTGATTATAACCCACGGTAGCAGTTCTACTCACCAGTGGTCGTTTGTGTCCGCCCACCATGAAGTGGTACAATGTGTCTGCCATACTGAGGTCTGGGGTCCCCACAATCTCACTGCCTCTCTGTCCACAGGAAACAAAGAGGTGAGGAGGAGGAGGAGGAGTCAACAAAACATAGGTACTCAAGACATGCAAAATCAACGATTCATGGCTACATGAGGAATTGTGTATCTGACTGGGATCAGGATTAAGGACCCAAATTGTTAGGAGTGGAAATATGCCCAACGGCACTTAAAATGTATAGCATATATTAGGTGGTGAGAACCAAACAAGGGTGACTAGACTTAAAATATTCAAACTCTGGCATTTGAATGAATTGAATTAGATGATATAATAAAGTTTTTTTTTTTTTTTAGATATTGCTAGCCTTACCCCAAACATGACTAGCCCTAGGGCCATGCCTGCAGCCAGGGAGTAGGATTCCCGATCATTACAGTTCTCCATCTCTGGTCCCGGAGGTCTACCTACACATAACAAACAACAGATTGATGTACATAATTAAAGATGGTGCAATGTGCTTTTTATTCCCCGCTTATTTTTTTAAGAAAACAGGGCATTGATGTCCAACTCCCACACTTAAGAGCTAAAGCAAGGTCACAAAAGTCAAGTTTACAAAAAGTGTTGTAACATGCTGTTCTCATAGAGGAGCATTGGTAAGACTTATGTAAGGGTATATTCGTGTATCCGGTTGAAACGGTCGAACCGGTTGAACCCGTAAAGAAAACAACAAGCACAGATCTGGACCGAGGCTGACCTCAGGAAAATTTGGCACCTTTAGATTGAGGGGTCCAGACGTACCTGACCGAAACTAAAATGCTGACTATTGCTGGTTTGCGCTATTTCTTTCTAAAACAATGTCAAGTCAAATGTAGTTTTTAATATACGTTATGTAATTCAGTGGACGCATGAAAGAAGGGCATAATATTCTTTATACATTGTTTTTTATTCTCCGAAACTGTACATTTTTAGCTCTGCTTAAAGAATGGTGCAAGTGCGTTTGTTTATTGTGGAAAATTTCTGCGCCACACGTACC